ACTAAGACAATAATGAGGTTGATGAGAATGTGAAGACAGAAACTTCTTTGATTACTGATGAGAATGTAAAATGGTGTAGTCACTACAGAAAACTATTTGGTAGTCTCCCAAATTATTAAATAGTTATCATATGACTCCAGCAATTCCACTCCTAGGTATTATAGATATCCAAGAGAAACGAAATCATGTCTATACAAAAACTTGTACATGACTGTTCACAGCAGTGTTATTTTATAATAATTAACAAAAACAAAAACAAGAAGAACAGCCCAATCCAAATGTTCTTCAACTGAGAATGGATAAATAAAACACGATATACACATACAATGAAATATTATTTGGTAATAAAAAGGAATGAAGTTCTGATACATGCTATCCAAAAAAAAATTATGCTATGGAAAAGAAGCTAGCCACAAAAGACCACATATTATATAATTCCAATTATATAAACTGCCTAGAAGAGGCAAATCTGTGCAGACAGATTCGTGATTGCCAACAGCGAAGGGCAGGTGTAGGAGTGACTGCTAATGGGTATGGGTTTCTTTCTGGGATAATGAAAATGTTCTAAAATTGATCATGGTAATAGTTACACTTTTTATATATACTAAAATCACTGACTTGTACATTTTAAATGGATGAATTTTATGGTTTATGAATTAACTCCATAAAGATGTTAAAATGTTAACAACAAAAAGGGTTGACCAGTGGTTGAGAAACCAGGAATCCTCATATTCCAGATGTCTTCCTGGTACTGTTTACACAGCACTAGTATATAGGGCAAGAGTCACCTTCCTCCACCTGAGGGGAAACAAAATTATAGCACATCCTTAATGAAGACCACCTGGCCAGTATGATGCAGGCTTTTGTTATTTTCAGAATGCAGTAATGCAATGTGCCTGAGCCTTAACCTGCTGGAGAGGCGCAAGCAGCCTGCGGCTGGCTAGAGTTCACGATAGCAGCCCTCCTATCAGCTGAGTGGGCAGGAAAAGGACCTAAAACTACAAAGTAGAAAGTACAGGTTAGGAAATTTCCTTGTGGCAAAACATATGCACAACATTGGGCGTCAAAGCTTTCTTCACTCCTGAATTCCTCTCCACTTCCCACTCCCGAAATAGAGTCTGCTATTCTAGGTCAAACATACTTTAAATATAGGTACATTATGAATCAGCTAGAATTACATAATGATCAAGCAAGAAGGACCTTTAAAAGTATTGTCTAATGGAGCACTGACTCTGAAGCCACTTAATAAGTGGCTGTGTGACCTTCAGCAAATCCATGTCTCTATACCTCAGTGTCTTCATCTGGAAAATGGGCATAATAAAGGCAACTGTTTTCTGAAATTGCTGCAAAGACTGAGTTAATCCATGTAAAATGTTTAGAAAAGTGCTTGGCACATTGTAAGTACTAATAAATTTTTAACTGTTCTTATAATTATAAACTGGTAAATCCCATTATTTTCATGGAGGAAGACGCTAAGGCTCAGAATGCTAAAGTGACCCTGCAGTTGGCAGTAACAGGGCTGTTTGCCAGGCTTCAGGTCTCTTTGACTCCTCAACCAGTGTTCTAGAGCATTAATGTGTACCCCTGCATGTATGATACTCCTTGACTAACTTTTAGGTCTTGAAAGACACAAATTAACAAACACAGTGCTTCTTTAGAAGCATATCTCATACAATGTGGGAATCTGTAACATGTTTTTAATTCATTCTCTTTTCATCCCAAGTTTAACCTTCTAACATCTGAAGAAAGGTACTGGCACTAAATCCCGGAATGTCCAAAAGGCAGGATGGCACCAGACTGTAAGAGAAAATACACGTAAACTTTTTTTTTTAATATTTCATTGAAGGAGGATAGAATACCTGAATATGCTTAGCATTTAAAGAAAGAGACTTCTTTTCTCTTTCTGCATTCTAGAAATACACTCATGTAAACCTCAGATGCTATTATCAGGGCTTGATGAGTTCTAACTTTCAGTAATGAATACCTATCAATTTAAAATTCAAGAGGCAAAAGAAGCTCACAAAATAATAATACGTAGTATTTAGTGAAGTACAATAAATGCAGCAGGATACAAAGATGTAACCAGAAAACATTCTATGCTACACTAAAGCCAGAGTAAGCTTTTAAACAATCTCATCACTTCTCTTTCTTTCATAGATGCATGCATGCATGTACCCACATGCACACACACAATCACATCACAGTGTTTAAACCAGCCTATGAGGCCCTGAAATATCTGGCCTCCTGCACACCCCTGCATCTTTGTTGGAGCCTCACTCTCCTCAGCTCTCAGCCAGACGGGTCCTCTTTCCTTTCCTCAAACTCACACGTCTCTCTTCTGCTTTGGGGCCTTGACACTGGCATTCCCTGTGCCTGAAAAGTTCTTTACTTCCTCTAACTACACTTCTGTCTTGGCCTCTCCACCGAACTATTAACAGCTTGATTTATCCTTCAGACTCTGCTTAAACTTTTCCTCAAAGCAGCTTTCTCTAACAACCTGCACTAGCCTCTTTGCCCTCCCTCCTCCCCAACCAATCACACACAATGAAACATGGTTCTAACCACTTATCCAATAAATATCTTTCTTCCCCCACCAGACTGTAGGCTCAAGAAGGGCACTGCCTTTGTTCAACATTCCTTCCCCTGTACCTAGCACAGTAGATGTTGAATGAAATTAACAACATCCCCTAAGGATTCAAAAGACCAAGTGATAAACTGATTTCCTAACTTCACTCAAATTTGACACAAGGCATCCCATATCAAGCTGTCAGCATGACAAATACACAAACCACACAAACAGAGGCATGGGTTATACACTACCTTTGGAGAAAAATTCAGAATGAACAAAAACTTGGATTGGGATTACATGTATTTTAAAGTTACCATGTGTAAACCTACAAGAAAAAAAAAGTTACTTTTTAAAACAAGCTTCAGAAAAAGAAAAAGTAACTTGTCACTAACACAACATGCTCATTTTGGAAGACCAAGTAGAAAAGTGGAGAGTGGAGGAAACAAGAATGCATGTGATCCTCCTAGGCTATTACCATTTCTTTCCCAAGTAAATTTATCTCCTAAAAGGAGAGAATATGCTGAACCATCATTCTAAGTGTATCTGGAAAAGTACCCAGTGGCGTGATGGGCTTCTATGAACAGTATGCCTACAAGGACGGGGCACGCGGGTTAAGCAGCATCATGTAAAGCTGTCTTTGGCAATGGCTCCAGTGCCCTCTTCTTCAGCGTTTCCACCCTAGCACCACTCACAGCATTAAGTTCTCTTACTTTGGGAAGAAAAAAGTAGACTCTTTTTAGGAACAGATAGGAATCACAAGACAAAGATTCCAAAAGATCCTTCTAGAGAGTTCTGCTTTATTGAAGGATACACAAGGACAGTCAGCAACAATAACATCAAAAGCATTTCACTACCAGGAAATAGTTACTGTATCAAGAGACTAAACTTTCCATATAGAATGGAGAAGGAAAAGGGGGGGGGGAACCCCACAGAACAACAAAAAAAGTTGGGGGTGGGGAAGAATGGGAAAAAAAGAAGAGTGTCGAAGATGAAAGAAAAAAAGGTAAAAAGTGTGTGTAATGAATCGAAAGGATTGAAGGACCAGCAACTAAATTTTACTCAAGTATATGCATCTGAGAGCTTAAAGAGACCTCAAGAGGAAAACTGCCAGGTCAAGCCTCCTCCCCTTAGGTTAGCAGTGCTGATCAGCCTCTGGCATCCACCAAACCAAAGCCTAGCTTTGAGTTACTGTCATCTAATCTAATTGCGGACATCACGGAAGGTCCTTGAAGCAAACAAGAAAAACCTCTTCTCATTTAGGCTCTACTAATGATCACAGAAAAAAATAAACAGGCGAACTCACTGCTAATTATACTAGGCAAAGGGAAGAGATTCTGGGTACGCTCAACAGGGGCACCTTTGGCTGTGCTATGTGTGACCTCCTCGAAGTTACTATGCCAACTGATCCTCCCACACACACCCATTCTTAAAACACCCGGCGCATTACCATACTACAACCTTTTAAAAATTATCCCACAAAAGAAAGGAAAACGTCTCTCACCCACTCTAAGGGATACTGGGAACATTTCTGCTTTCAAACACACTGCCTTTAAAATTTTAAAGACCTAATCTATTTTCTGTGATAAAAAGTTTACTTCCAAAAAATTGGCTAGCACAGTTTCCAGCATATAGTAGGCTTTTTTAAAATACTAGTTGCATACATGAAAAGAATGATCGCTTTGAATAATTTTCACAGCTGTAGAATAGTTACAACCTTCTCAAGATATGAAGCTTTTACCTCCACAAACTAGCAAAAAGGGCGGGTACTATTTTAAAACCAATCTGTAAGGCACGGCAAGAAAGTTGCAAATATTTGCATTCATTTAACGGTAATTTCAGAGTCTGTAAAACAAAAGGAAATGCTCAACGAGAAAATATAAAAACCTTGTGCAGAGCTTTGAAACTGTGGAGTTGGGACTCTGACACCTTGGTGTGCACGCAGATGACTCAGAAGGTGACAAAGGGAAAATGTTTGCACTGAGGACTTTGATAAAGGATCTTTCCCCTGTGGAATTCCAGGTTACTGCTGGCATTCTTCTGAAACCTTCCAACCTAGCTGCGAGCCAAGGGAGTCCGGTTCCTTCGCCAAAATTCAAGAGATTCCCAGAGGACCCCACGGCGGGACGTCTGCGCTTTCCTCCCGCTGCCATGAGAGCACCGTGCCTTTCAAGTCATCCCAAATCTCAGTCTTTGTAGCCTTCCTTGAAGCAAAAGGGCAGCCACAGCTCTTACCCAATCCCAAGAGAGGGCCGTGTCGTCCAGCAGGGTGACACGGTCCCGTGAGAGAACTGCTTTGGGAAATACTCCCGGTCCACGCTGGCCTCAGGAAAGGGCCGTGACCCCCGCCCCGGACGAGTCCAGACACCGCCCTCCGGCAGCACAGACAAAGGACCGGCCCCCAGCGCGCCCCTGGCCCGGCGCGGCCACTCACCGCTCAAATAGTTGGTCCACTTGTACAGCACCCCCTCCATGGCGCCCGCTGCCACTCCGGCCACGCCCGCCGGCCCCCTCACTGCCCCAGACCCCAGGAGGCGAGGAGCACCGGCAGCAGGGCCATCACCCGGCGCGGCCCAGACGCCCACTCCCGGCGCCCGGGCGCGGTGTGGGGACGCCCGGTCCGCCTCACATCCTCGGCCCGGGGGCGGGGTCACTGCGGCGGCCTCGGCGCGAGAAGCCCAGTCAGCCGGTGAGCCCGTGCTGCGAAGCCAGGCACGCTGTTCACAAGGAGGCACGGGCTCGAGCCCTACGTGGATCGGAGGGGCAGCCGAAGCCCCCGAAGTGCGGCTACCGAGCTGCGGGTCGCAGGCGGCGCCACGGCGCACTACCTGAACCCTCGACCTGCCGGGCCCGGTACGCGCTCACGCATGCCCAGTGCGCCGCTCGCGCGCCCCTTCCCAAAATCCACTCCGGGATTTTGCGGCGGCAGCGGCGGGGCGGACTTTGTGGGCAAGGCACGCAGGGAAATTGAGTCCTGAGACGCGGACGGGTGACTAGGCGATGGGAGGAGGAACGCCCCTGAGACAAGTGTGGAGCACAGTTCTGACTGTAAAGGGTGCCTGACGTTTGGGGGTCTACGTGACCTCTCACGATACCCCCTGTGTTCTTTTTCCAAAGCTGCCTAATTGATCTCACACACTTTGAGGTAGCCGATAATAGGGCGTAAAGAGATGATTGGAATTTCCGGGTAGAATACTATGAGGCCAGTGTAAACAGGTGTTGTCCAGACTCTAAGGTCTTGCTACTGGAAGTGCTGGTCCACTGACTCGGAGCATTGACATCACCTAAGAAAGAGCTTGTTAGAAATGCAGAATCTTGCACCCACCCCAGACCTCCAGAATCAAAATCTGCATTTTAAACAAGATCTCCAGGAGGATTCCTATGCACATAGAGTGCGGAAATGCACTGTGCTAAGGATATTTGACCAGAAAAAAATGTTAACTACAGATTAAGTGGAAAGAGAAGGTGAGAAAAGAGTACAATACGATTTAAATCGCTTTAGGTATATGTTACAGAAGCATGCACCAAAATATTAAGAGGATTATTTGCGGCTGGTGGTGGTACCGACGAGCTTTCTTTTTCTTTAGTGTAAAGTTGCCTGATTTAGTAAATAAAAATGCAAAACAATTATTCGTTATGTATCTGAAATTCCAATTTAATTCGACTCCCCAATTTTATCTGGAAATCCTACTTTAGTGCTTTCCAATTTCTTCCAAATTGACTACAATGAACATGCATTGCTTTTGAACTTAGGCGAAAAATAGAAAACTAGAAAATGTAAACTAAGATGAGACTGTGTAATTCGTAGCCATGATTACCATTTCTTCTTTAAAGCGGAAGTCTGCAAGTCGTAACTCATTATTTACCCTCTAAGGTAACTTAAGGAATAAATTATTAGCAGCCATAACATGACGTGGTGCTGTGGAATGAATCAGACCTGGTTTGAAGGCAGAGCTCATCTGCTTCTGGGCCAAATAACCTTAAGCAGGACAGTTAATCTCTCCTGGTCTAAATTTACTTCTCTTTTTAATGGGAAAAAAAGAACCTGCCTTACTGGTTGTAGCGAGGTTCATGCAACAGGAACGCGCTTTGTGATTCCTAAAGCACTATGTCAGTCTACAGTTTACGAGCAATAGCAAAATCCTAGGATCGTGGCATCTTGGAGGACCGCTCTCCAACGGCGAGAGTAAACGAGACTTTCCTGGAACCCCGACTGTTTCATAAGGCCCCGGGACTCTTCCTACGTCTCTCAGCGGGGCTCTTCAAAGAGATAAATCAGCCGGAGGAGTTTCCGGTTATGTCTGCGCCCCACCACTCTCCCAAAATCCACGTGGGTTGAATTCTGAAAACCCCCGGGCTCTAGGACCACACTGGATGATCCGCCGCTTGGCAGCTGCCCGGCTCAACCGGGCTGTAAATTCCATCGTTGCAGCGTCATTGGCTTGAGAGCTTCCTGAAGGACAGCACCAACAGCCAATGGAAGGCCGTTATTCCCAGGCGGCCACGTCATAAGAGCCAATCAGGCCCTCATTTGGGCTTAACTCTTTAAAGGTGGGTTCGCGCCCCCTGAGAAAGTAGTTGGTAGTGAATGTGCCACGTCTTCTAAGAAGGGGGGAGTCCTAAACTTGCCTGAAGCCGTTGTCCCTAAGCCTTGAACTACGTTCTTAAATCTATGAAGTTGAGGGCCCTTTCGCTGTTTTTGTAGGGACTTCTTCCCTGCTTCAGCAACATGAGACTTTTCTTGTGCAACGCAGTCTTGATGCTGTTCGTCACTTCTTTGATTGGGGCTCTGATCCCTGAACCAGAAGTGAAAATTGAAGTTCTCCAGAAGCCATTCATCTGCCATCGCAAGACCAAAGGAGGGGATTTGATGTTGGTCCACTATGAAGGCTACTTAGAAAAGGACGGCTCCTTATTTCACTCCACGTAAGTAATTATGCCCCGCAGGTAAAATAATAATTAAGAATTCACTCACTTATGCCAGCTCTCCAGCAAGAAAGGTGGCTTGTACCTGGTTTTACCTCTTTTACAAAACCGAAATATCTTATTTCCTTCTTTGGGAAAGGAAATTGTTTAAAGCCAGTTTTATGTAGCGAGCGAGGCCTTTGAAGGTCTTACTGGAAACATGTGGTCTGGAAAAGGCTGTCAGTTTTTTTTTATGATAAAAATTAGAACTAGAATCTTTGAAATATTGCAGAAATATATCTGGGTGTATAATTGGGCAATAAGTAGAAAAAGCCCTAAAGAATGCTCATATCTCAAACTCCATTTCTTAGAGAAAATGACTTGATTCCATTTTTAATGTGGTGTAGGTGATGTTCACCTAAAACTTCACAGCGACTTCAAAAGCAAACTACACAATCACTTATTTGCCTGTTGAAGGATATACTAATGCCGTTTCACTGATCTACTTAACTTTTGTTCTGATGGATGATATTTTGGTCAAGGCACAGGACCATGATTTCAGTCATTTGCTTCTTTCTAGAGAGTCACACTTCATTCATGAGGTGGGTGTGGTTTTGGAAGTTTAGGTGAAGGATTTTCAGGTGGTTACACTATCATTTCTGTTCTATAAATGAAGAAATTGGAACATGGAAATGGTTTACAGCCTAATGATTTTCAATTAGGCATCGGTTCCATTCATTCCATTATGAAAGTATTTAGTGAGCATTTCCTTGATGTTAAGCCATGTTCTGGGTGCTAGGGAGATTCAGAAATTTTGGCTTCTAATCATCTTCATCTATTAATTAATCTGTCCATCTATCAAACTCTTATTGAATGGTCACAAGTCTGGTCCTGGAGACGCAAAGATGGCTAGAAGCAGGTTCTTGTCCTCTAACAGTATACCATCTACAGGTGGGAGGAAGACAAGTAAATAATGCAAGTGATACAGGGTACAGAATATTCAAAGTGCCAGCAAAGCGTAACGGCACCTGGAAGTAGTTATGCTCCATGGGGGTGGGGAAAGGGAAAAAATTCCCAGAGACCGTAATTGAAGTGAGCCTTGGAAGATGAGTGGAGGTTTCCAGGGGGAAAGTGGGGAAGGAAGGATGTTGTACGTAGAGGGAATAACATGAATTAAAACAGTGAATCTTCATAGCCCATCCTCGGCCTAGTTTTCTAATAAACTGCCTTTACTGGGCATTCAGATCTGGTCTCTCTTGAGGGTTGGGGAAATGAATGGGGCTCTTCTCTGAACTGTTAGCCCTGGGAAAAAGTTCCAGAAACATGGCTTGCCTTAGAATTCTCAACGGCCCTTTATTCTTGTCAACTAGGTGAATGCCACAGCCAACATTAAATGATGTGATTTGCATTTTGAATATTCAGTTACATTGTTATTTTTAGTCTGATCTCTTTTAGACTCAGCCTGACTTCTTTCAGATCTCTGAACCAAAAACCTGGGCTGACTTTGGTGGTAGCCATGGAATATTATTTAGTAGTTTGCTACTAAGTTCTAATACCTGATGAGGGGACTGTTATCATGCAGCCTCCATGTAAATGGTCAGAAGCTGCTAACTGTAAACATCATGAAGAAATACCATCAAATGGGCCGGGCGCAGTGGCTCACGCCTGTAATCCCAGCACTTTGGGAGGCCAAGGTGGGCGGATCGTGAGGTCAGGAGTTCAAGGCCATCCTGGCCAACATGGTGAAACCCCTTCTCTACCAAAAATACAAAAATTAGCTGGATGTGGTGGCACACACATGTAGTCCCAGCTACTCAGGAGGCTAAGGCAGGAGAATCACTTGAACCTGGGAGGTGGAGGCTGCAGTGAGCCGAGAATGCACCACTGCACTCCAGCCTGAGCAACAGAGCGAGACTCTGCTCTGAAGAAAAAGAAATACCATCAAATGATCAGTTTGTAAGCACGTTTGCCATCTCTAGAACCATAACCTATGGGGTAAATTGCTTAGCCCTAACAAGAACTGTGCTAAAATTGTAGTCAGTAATGAGTAGTAGAATGCCTGCTTTTTTCATTTCTAGCCTTCCCTAATTTTCTACAGTTGGCATTTTGTTCTTTGATCATTGGGCAAAATTACAGGAAAAAATGGCGTTACCGAGATTTAGTAATCATGAAGCCTAGTACAGTGACTTCTTTTTCTTACCTACAAGATATCCTTGAATAGAATATTTTCCTTATTGCGCTGAAAGGGAGCTAAGTAGGGATCAGGCATTACTCAGCCCTCAAGCACCCCTGTATTTAGTTCGGCAGGTTGGTTTTCCTAGGCTAGACTCTCTTCAGCTTATGATCCAGGACATCCTATTTCCCTCCTCCCCAGTTGATGTGGTTCGACTGTGTCCCCACCCAATTCTCATCTTAAATTGTAGCTCTCGTAATCCCCACATGTTGTGGGAGGGACCTGATGGGAAGTAACTGAATCATGAGGGCAGGTTTTTCCCATTCTGTCCTCCTTGTGATAGTAAGTAAGTCTCACGAGATCTGATGGTTTTATAAAAGGCAGTTCCTCTGCAAACTCATTCTTGCCTGCTACCATATAAGACATGCCTTTGCTCCTCCTTTGCCTTCCGCCATGATTGTGAGACCTCCCCAGCCATGTGGAACTGCAAGTCCATTAAACCTCCTTTACTTTATAAATTACCCAGTCTTGAATATTTTTTCATAGCAGTAGGAAAATGGACTAATACACCAGTCCTTGAGGGGCTACTCTTCCAGACTTTCCTATATAGCCCCACTATAGACCCCTGAGGAGGAAACCGGGCTAGGGTCTGAGTGGGGATTTAGGGATGAAAAGCAGCCTTTTCTACTCATCAGAGCCATCAGCAGGCCGCAGCTAAGGAAAGTTTGTAGCAGTATGTAAG